CCCCCCCCCCCCCCCCCCCCCAAATAGACACTAGCACCCGTCAGCCCCGGCGATCAGACCGCACCGGGACACTCAGCCACCCCCAAACACACACAAACACACACACGCACACACACACAGAAAAAGTTCCGCACTCAACTTTCCAGGGCTGCTTTTTGAGATAGACACTTGTACCCCCACCGCCCCCCTGAGGTCCCCCTTTCCAAAAAAAAAAAAAAAAAGAGGATGATCCACGCGGTTTTTGCTGACTTGTTTCCCCGAGAGCGCTGACAGCGGCGGCGTTCCGCGAGTTTTGTGAATGAAGGCATAACGGAGGCTTACCTACAAGTGGAGAGGGACGAGCGGCGCTCCAGAGAGGAACCACGTTGGACTGGAGCGCGATTACAATACGTTCTATTTACAGAAGCATTACATCACCCTTCGCGGTGACGTCACGTGGGATTCCTGAACTTCTAAATCATTGCGGTCCCGTACTGAGAGAGGGATAGAGGAGGAGGAGGGGGGGGGGGGGGGGGGGGCGTGGTTATGACACCGGCCGGTAGGGGGATAGTGGGACCAGACGGGACCGGCACGGTGGAAATGTGGACCCGGTCTCAGACACGGACCGAGTCAGAGCCACGAGCGGCAACGTGACAGGACGCAGGGCAGTGAAGTTCATTATCGCTGTTCTTATCGTTTTAGTTTACGATTGCTTGTCGTGATAAAAGTAAAACATCTTCCAAGTTTTTACAATGTTGACAGCAAACATTTGAGTTTAGTGGGTTATGCTGAAAATGTCATATATGTCTCATAATATTTATGATCATGATTATTACTCATTATTATCATAATAACATTATAGATATCATATGCTACTGTAAACATAATTATTACATTTGTGTGTAAGGAAACAATCTCAAAGAAGAAGAGTCAGATATCCTGCAATTGAAAAAAAAATAGGTATTTGTTAGATAAAAGTTTTTTTAAAGAAAAATAAACAGCTCAAAAGTAGTCGTTCCTCATAAAAAGCCCCTCCATGGTTCACCCAAGATAAGTTCCGATTAATATGTTTTGGAGTTTTAAAGGAAATAACTTAATCTGAAAGGGAAAAATACAGAAATAAGATCAATCAGAAATTCACAATTACAGCAGGCTGTGTTGATCATAGGTTGTCATCATTTATTTTTGGGGGGCAAAAAGAACTTCCATATCGTTATCCTGATGTTTTACAATAGATTCACTTAATAACAAGAGTTTTAGAATTGAAATGAAGCAGACAACAATGATAGGAAACTTTTTAAAGGGTATCCTTTCTGTAGTTTTGTCACTTTATGTGTCCATTTTTGGGCCTTTTGAAGAAACAGGAAGTCACTGCCCACACGTCTTAAGATCTCAGCTCTCATTATTCCCAGAATCTCCCACTGGCAACATATAAACAAAAAAACAAAACAAAACAAAAAAAAAACAAAAGCACCCAGTCATTAGCACCAACTAAACCACCAAATCATCTCTGCCATGTTTGGACGTGCTTTCCGATGCCCCGGCCGGCCCCAGCTCAACACAGGGGGATGGTTTTGTTGTGGTTGTATTCCGGAAAAAAAAAAAAGAAAAAGAAAAAAAAGACCCAACCCCCATGACTCATCGTCCACCAATCGCGTAGAGTATGCAAATTCCAAATGCCATGGCAACTCCAAGAAACAGGAAGTAGTTATGAAGTCATCCCATGTGTGGATGTGATGTGACTCACCAAAGTTTGTTTTTTTTCAGCAAAGATAAGGGATGTTTTACAGCACGCGTCCGTGGGCCAGAGGAGTGCATGGACGCACTAAAAGAAAGAGGAAAAAAAAAAAAGTCTATGACGGCAGCCAGGAAGTCTCTGGCTGGTGCCTTGGAGCAGACAATGCCAGCCAGATTACAGCAACCTCCATAACTCAGGGGCTGCACCGGCCGTTACCATCTGGCCTCCTCGCCCTCGGCGCGGCTCTTAACAAGCAGCCTGGGAGCTTCCTGCCCGGCCTGATGTCACCCCGGCAGCAGAGATATACGCCGCCTGGGGTCGGAGGTCAAGCGCAGACGGCGCTCCGGCTGCTGCGCACATCTGGCTCAGGTCTGGGACCGCGTCTGCTGGTTCAACTCTGGGGAAGACCGGCTGGACGCGGATATCCCAGTCCCAGTCCCAGCAATCTGATCATTTAATGAAATGATCTGATTTAAACTTCCACTCTGGCTCCGATGTCACATGCACCTCAGAGCAGGACCACTTACATGTGTGTGTGTGTGTGTGTGTGTGTATTTGTTGTGTTTTTGCTCACACACTGCGTTACGAGAGGCAGACGACGAGGAAACCCACAGCCCCCAAAGGCCCCCACAAAGCGTTCCAGGGCGCACCACCTACTGACCTCAGATCTGATGATGTCATGCTCCGCACACTCTCCCCGGGTCTCTCTCGGTCTTTTCTGCGGCGTTTCGCAACCCAGCCATCCTCCCGTTTGCGCAAGGGTGCTGGGCGACTGCGTCACCGCCGCAGGTCCGCTGCGCCATGTGTGTCTAATGAGCGTGTTTGTGTTAGCCTATAAGGGAGAACATCTGGGTCAGGTTGATGAGGTCACCGCATTTCTGCGCAGCGCACACGTTAAAGACACTGCCATGATGTCAGTCCCCTTACTTCTTCTTTGTGTGCCCGCTTCCTTTACGTTTATTCTTATTTTTTGTATACGTATGTAGCTGCATTGATGGAGAACAGAGAAGAGAAAGAGAAAGCTCATCCCCCGGCCGCTGGTTTACAACAGAGCATTTTAACGCTTGATTAACAAGTCCAACACAAGCCAGTCGGTTCCGGCTGGCCTGGCCCCGATGAATTCAGGACATTCTCGTCTCTCTCGGGGAGCCACCTGCACACACGTCCCATCCGGTTTAAAAGCTGCACGGTTCTCTCCGTGCCATCGGGCCATTAGCTATGGCCTTGATTAATCAACTTTCCGGATGAATCAGACACTGTTGCCAAGGTGTAACGTAGAAGCTCCTTCACTTCAGTCAGGAGTCCTCCTTTCTCATGCATCGAGATGTTTGGGAGGCATTCGCGTTGAACTTTTTCTGCCCTTCTCCAGATGACGTTCATTCGTCTTTCCCTTATCAATATTACTCACTTTTTTAAAGGCACATTGCACAAAATGCTAAAGTATTCCAAGTTATTAACTCTTTCTGGATCAACTTGTTGGCATAAAATACTAATTTCATGCTTCTTGAACTTTGTTTCCTCTGATGAAATACAAACAATTGATATGTTTTTGCAGCAGGCAAAAAGGAAAAAAGAGAGAAAGTTGGACGTGGGCCCAATTCTGGTGCAATCTTACACTTGGGTGTCGTTTTAATGCCCGTGAGACTCAGCTTAACAAAAACAGGTCAGGTGCAAAGGCTAAATATACCATCACAAGGCATTGATCTCACAAATTGATACATCAGCCATTCACCAGAAACCGGAAAGCAAATCCTATCTCATCCCATCCAATTCTAAGACGTTGAGGCTGCTCCTCTCCTGTTGGTGTGTGGTTTTATTGCGGTGATAACACTGATCCCGACTCTGGATGCTTCTGTCCGCCCTGAGCTCGGCTCCCCTACCAGACATTTATCCACATAATATCTCCATGGCAGCTCGGGTCTAGTAAAGGCCCTAAAGGGACTTCCATTTAAGCTTTTACTACACACAGATGAAGCATCACAAAACTACATTTTATCACCTCAGAGATGTGATTAATGCCTGGGCCTTTATTCAAGCCGGTAACCACTCTCCGCTGAAGGCTGTGGCACAGGCGGCTAAGCAGCGGGTTATGAATAGTTGTAAAGAAATGCAGCGGACGTGATGCTGTGCGTCAGACGTAACTGTGATGTACGGAGAAAGGATATTTTTGCTTCTTTATCTATATCAAAATGGGAGGATAAACAGTTTCAGTAGCCTATATATGAAAAAAAAATCAATCTATAACAAAGACAGATATAGCCAGAGCTGCAGTAACACTAAATATATGCAAATCTACCAATATGTGGTAGGGAAGTTTGTTTCTTTTTCTAATCCCAATTTATTTAGCTAATATTTCGTTTTCGTCACTCTTTAAATTAACATAAAAATCACATTGTAATTTGCTTTCAGAAAAACACTCAATACCGATGTCAACTTATGCAAATTCGCAGGAAAATCTAGCAACAAGACCAACCGCTAATTTACATGTTTTTCTTCTAACGGGGCATCTGCAAAAAAATGAGAGGAAATGACATATTTCACACATTAAATGTGTGAAATCTCGTCTGTGATGGTTTTACTCCACTCTCCCTGGCTAAAGGGTCTCTGGGTGATCCCCAGCCGGGCTCGGACTCCAACAGGTAGGCGCCCGGTGACGTAGACAGCCACCAGCCAGCAGCCAGCCGTCCCTCCCTCCCTCCACCCCCACGGTAACGCCTGCCTCCCAGCTGCGTCCCGCCGCTGTCCTGCCCTCGCCTCCCGGTGCTCGCTCCGCTCTCTGCCCCCGCTCCGCTCCGCTCCCACCCCGTTCCCGAAGCCTCACAGCCTTCCTCGTTTACCGCCACCTCTCCCCCCCCCCCCACCCACCCCCGGCTTCCCTGGACCCCTTTCCGCCCGGTGAATGCACCACCGCCGCCGCCGCCAGCATGACGGGCATCGCCGCTGCTTCTTTTTTCTCGAACTCCTGCAGGTTCGGAGGCTGCGGGCTCCAGTTCGAGTCTCTGGCCGAGCTCATCGTCCACATCGAGGACAATCACATCGGTGAGTCGGGGCTGGAGGGGGAGCTACGCAGCTAGCTGGCATTCGCTAGCTAGCTAGCTAGCTAGCTAACCGTAGACACGGTGTCGGGGGTTGCATTCCGCTATCCCTGCTGCCCCGCTTCTTTTTTTTTTTTTCGACGCTCGTCGGAGGGCGAATTCTTCGGGAACTTGGACATTTTTAGAGCGATATGAAAACGTTCAGGGTGTCATTAACGTGTGTGTGTCTTTACCAAGCCGCAATAGTTACCTTTGCGGCGGCAGAGGGGCCGCGTAGGTCTCAGAGGTATTACTAGCATCCCTGCCAAGCAGCGGTTTCTCAGCTAGCGCTGGTCTGTGTTTACATTTCGAGGCCCGATGCGGTGCAGCTGCACTGGTGTGTGTGTGCGCGCGCACGTGTGTACGCGTGCGTTGGTGTGTGTGTCTGTGTTGAGCTGCTAAAGAGTCACCGCAGGTTCTTAATGAATTCATCACACCTTACGCCGCTGTGTTGGTGTCACTTCCAACCGCTGTCGTCTCACTTTAACCGAGTTACCGAGGGCGCGCGCGCGGTCCCGCCGTTGGATTTTTCTCCCTCGAACGCGAGCCTCAACTTGTTGCTTCGCTTATTAGATTTTCGTCCGACAGGCCACCCAGATAACTCTCCGGAGCCGTGTATAAATAGCCTCCTAATTAGTTTACCCGCCGATTGATGCGCGAGACACAAAAGTTGCAGAATGGTAGAGAGCCGAAGGGAATATTGGTCCATTTTTTTTCTGCACCGTTAACGCCATGCACGACAAAACACTTCACAAAAGAAATGTGGAGGAATTAGTTTAATTTAAGTCAGAAAAAAAGAACGTCTCACATCCTGTGGTGGCTGCTGATGAATATTTACCAAGCATTTTAGAAGTGTTTTTGAAGCCTAGATCAGTCTTTCACCTCCAGTGGACAGAAAGCCATCTAGCCTTGTAGACTAAACTTTAATACATCATTTAAAAAAAAAAGCACAATACAGAGAAATCTTCATTGAGCTGAGAACCGCTGAAACACTAATGTGATGGAGGCTAATCATTATTTGTGGGATGTATCCGTCCTCTCGAGGCTCTTTAAAAGGGGTGAAGGGGCTAAAATGGATGCTTCATTTAGCCCGGTCACCATGGCAACTGGCTGTCTCCGGCGGGGTTGGGGGCAGCATATTGGCTGAGTTGTGGCGCACCTGCTGTCTCGCAAACAAAGAGCGCTGCAGAGCCCCCCCCCGGCCGCGCTGATGACACCCCACGCCATGTCACACCGGGTGGGACGAGGCCGGGCGGATGTTTGCAGATGTTCCCAGCTGTGGGTGGAGGATGACCACTACCAAAACAACCACACCAAACATTTCAATGATTTTTTTTTTCCCCCACTATTTCTATTTTGCAGTGAACAGGCGTAGGGACTTATAATGGGCCGCCTTTGTCAGAACTGAACAAATCAGACCATCCGACACTGATTTTGATTTATGGCCCACGTGGCTTGTAGCTTGACCTTTCCCCTCCGGCCGGCGGAACACAATGCCTGTCGTCTCTCTCCATCTCTCTTTTTTTTCCACGACTGGTCGTCAGCTGCGTCGAGACCACGCGCCGCCTAATCGATGCGGCGCTCAGATCAGTTACCACGGCGACCTCCGTGACAGATGGAGGGGCAGCGAGGTGAGGAGGAAGAGGAGGGGGCCCTCTTCCCCTCACACAGCCACTGGTCCTTTTATTTTTTGGTGCTGCCCGGTGGCTTGTGATTGATGATCAAAGATGCCGAATAAACCAGAATGACTTGCTGTTTCCAGCAGAGATTGGAGGTTACTCGGGTGGCCGCGTTGCCTTAAGACGCCGACAGGGTGCGGAAATCGGCGCCGGGCCGTCCCAGAAGCCTTCCAGTCTCACCTCGCAGTCTGTGGCGCCCTCTTGTGGCCGGGCATCTGACGTGCTTCCAAGCATTCCTAAAAGCAGGAGTGGGTGGGCAACTCCAGGCTTTCAGGGCCTCTGTCCTGCAGGTTTTTAGAGGTTTTCGCTGCTTCTACACACCCGATTCAGTTAAAACCGATCTTCTCTAAAGATGGTCGCCCCACCCCTGCTTAAAAGCAAGGCTTTTGCTGCTGTCACGCCTTTAAAGGGACCGTCTAAAACTGTGATCCTCCACCTATACCGGTGCCCTCACTGACACACCGCACACAGCATGTGGCGGCAAACGGAGCAGATGATCCCATCGGGATCAACTCCGAGAGGAAAGCCGGACGGCGTGGAGCCTTCTGCGCTGACCTCATCCTGGAGGCTTCACGGGTAGCAGCCGCTCGGCCACATACCCGCTTAGATTACAGTGGAGGGCAGAAGGAAGCGTCTCATGAAGGGGGGGGGAGGGAGATTTGGCTGTTGTCGAGCTCTGTAGGTCAGGCCTGAGGAATGCGGTGATGTCAGCCCCCTGTGGCGGCGTGCACCAGCTCACAGGGTTGTGTTCTCACCTGCACAGGCACATACCTGTCTGCTACCTCAACGGCACAGGGACAGACTCTGGGGGGGGAGGGTGGAAAGGGATAGAAATCAACACCGGGGAGGAGAGGTGAAAGATGCAGTTAAGAAAACAAAAATCCGAGTTTGAGCATGGGAAAATCCAAAATATATTAGTTTTGTGTGTCTTTTTTGTGGTTTTACTGTTAAATTGAATCTAATAACACAGTGTGAAGAATAGGTTTTCTGCTAACATATCAGACAGGAAACAGGCAAAATGGTTAAGTTCACTTGTATAATGAAACTGGTATGTGACACGTTAGATTTCAGGAAATCGGTTTGAACGCAGTTACAGAAGCTAAATGAAAGGAAGCAGACGCCAACCGAAGGTGCTAAAATCCCTTTTTTTTAATACCATTATAATTGAATGGAAAAGGGCAAGATAACGAGGTAATATTTATGTCTATTTTATGTGGGATTAGTCCTTGTAACTGCTCATTATATTGAGGTTATTAGGCCTTTTCATCGTGATATTACCGTCATTAGTTTTTGCAGGCAAACGTGCCTGAGCCGTTTAACGAGAGAGCTTTGCTTCAGTTTCTGTGACGTTTTCCAGACATGTGACATAAGGCACCTGTATCCATCCGTAAAGACCCGCCAGACGGGTGTGACCTGCGGATTGCCGGCCCCCGTCCAATCTCGCCCCCGGAGGTGGGACGGGTCTTTTTGCCTGCAGCCTGGCGTTCCCCGCACGGCCTGAATGACCCAAGAGGGCGTGGCACAGCCAACGAGGACCCTGTGATCCCATAGGATCACACATCCAGTCCCACACTTTGCCTTTTGGAAGTGGCAGGGCCCAAGAGCACTCTCCAACCACTGGGGAGGGGTAATTACAGAGAAGTCCCCCCCCCCAGCACCACCACCACCTCCTCCCTCGTTCCCAGCTCCTGCTCCACCTCCTCTGTTCTCCCTCCATCCGGTTGCCTGCTGCTCCAAAAACATGTTAAAACGCTCTCTGTGGCTTAATTAGCAGCCTGCATAACAAGCCGTGCATTCTTGGCCTACTTTCAACACGCACGCACGCACGCAAAGACGCCCCTCTGACCCCCCCCTCCCACCCCCCGTGCACACTGTGACAAATGTGCACACATGTGGACGCACACAAACGCCAGGAGGCAGCAGAGTGCTGCGTTCGGCTGCCGATTGGGTGCTGCATTCAGTTTAGAGGACATTGATTACAGATGCATTCACTGACCCCTCGGGGCTTCAAATTGTTTCATTTGGCAGACGCTTTTATCCAAAGCGGGTTTAACATTCAACTACAACAGCAGTTCCACACTTACCCTACCTTGAGCGCAATATTCTAGAAGAGTATTTAACATTAAGGATTTAACACTCAACTTTGACATAGATTACACAAGCACCATCCATCCATCCATCCATCCATCCATTATCGTTTCGTTTATTCCCTAATGGGGTCGCGGGGGGTACTGTAGCCTATCTCAGTGGTCAATGGCCGAAAGGTGGGATACACCCTGGACGGTCAACCAGTCCATCGCAGGGTGACACAGAGACACACAAGGACCAACAACCAAGCACACTCACTTCTAGGGGGCATTTGGAATGTCCAATCTACCTAACATTCAGGTTTTTGGACGGTGGGAGAAAGCTGGGGAACCCGGACAGAACCCACTCAGACACAGGGAGAACATGCAAACTCCACACACAAAGGTCCTGGTTCCCGCGGGGACTCAAACCCAGAACTCTGTTGCTGTGCTAACCGCACACCACTGTATGCTATATGCTATCAGGAAATAAGTGATTTAGAGATTTCAGGACTATCAGAAGATACTCTCAGAAGAGCTGGTTCTTCAAAGATTTCTTGAAAGAGAATCTGATGCTGTGATAGTGCCTGTAAGCTCGTTCCACCAGCGTGGAACCGCAGATGGGAGTCCAGATTGACCGTGTTAGCTGGCACTCCTTGGAGAAACGGAGCGGGTGGTGACACGGGGCTTTAAGAGGGCGTTGAGGCGCGGGTCCATCAAACGCCCCGTAGTCTAAGCATCAGGGGGTTTGAATTTGATGCGGGCAGCTTTCAGATACGGACCACCACACGCAAACGCGCGGGGAATCTGAGGAGGAGAAAAAAAAAGCAGGAGGCCCAGAGCAGGCCTTCCTGTCCCGCTAGGTGAGCGGAAGTCGTAAAGCCAGCACCCGGCTCGCTCCTCCACCAGCAGCCCCCCTCCCCTTTCTCCTCACACACACACACACACACACACACACGTGTACAGGCCTCCCTCACCCACAGTCCTCCGCTCTCAGGCGTTGGAGCTATAATCTGGCAGATTTTCGTCCACTTCCTGTGACTCAAAGGGGGCCGATTCGCCGCACCGCTCATAGTTTAAGACGCGTGGAGCTCTGGTTATGGCTCACTGTCTGGTGACTCGGCCCGCTCGGTCATGTAGGTCGATCTGTTTGTGTGTGTCTGTGTGTCTGCGTGTCTGCGTTTGCTCATGTGTGCGCTCAGAGCTCTGGCCTCTCCATCTAAGCAGCAGGTAGGATTATTAAGGCTGGGCTATAAAAGCCTCTGGAAGACCACCTTCCGCGGAGCCCCTCGCGTGTAAGTGCGTGTGAGCTCCTTGGTGCTAATGAACACAAAAACAGCCCAGTCCCAGCTATTCGTTTATTTATTATTTTTTTACCCTCTCCGTTCACCGAGGCTTTCTGGGTTCGGAGGGTTGTGTCGGGCCGCGGTTTAGAGGGGGGTAGCAGCATCCGTCTTTTCCCGAACTTGTTTTCTTGTTTGCCGGTCTCCTTGGTGTTCTCCTTCACTGTGGGAAGTCTGCCTTCTTTCTATTTTTTCTTTTTCTTCTTCTTTTCTTTTTAATTATGAGGTGTGAACGCCTGAAAGGGCCAAGAACAGCAACACACACACTCCCACATACACACACACACACACTTTTGATTACCTGGAGGGAGAGTCCTGGTGTCCTCAGATCTGAATGGCAGTACACCTGTAAACCATTAAATATGCAGCTGCACACATACACTTCTAATGGCATAAACGTACTTTTTTTTTGTTTCTTTTTGAGGGGGGGTTTTGGCTCCTTTCTGAAATGTTCGCCCGTTGAACACTTGATGGCACTGGTAGCTCGCGGTTCCGAAACCACCCGCAGTGCTTTCATGCACACTTGCTCCTGTTTTCCAGGGAGGTGGGAGGTGGGACTTTGAAGTCAACCCCGTTGCCCTCGGGCAGGGGAAGTTGCCTGCTGCACTGTTGCCGACATTAGCGAGTCAGCAGGGGGAAAAAGCGTCCTTTTCCAAGCCGATCCCACAATCTCGGGCACCTACCCCCCCCCCCCCCCCAACCGGCCTATCAGGGTCGGGGAAATGACCGAGCGGCCTGGGCCCACCTGGTTTAACCCGGCCAGGGATAAGCCAGGTGGGCCGATAGGAGTCAAACGTTTTTTTTTTTTTCCCTCCACAGGCATAGGTGACTAATCCCATGCTCTGTTTGCCCCCCCCCCCAGACACAGATCCGCGGGTTCTGGAGAAGCAGGAGCAGCAGCAGCCCACTTACCTGGCCCTCAGCTACATCAACAGGTACTCCCCGCGTCCTCGCCCACTTTTATTT